CTAAACCCATACCTAACCCTAATGCTAATGCGAACGGTAACCCTAAACCCATACCTAACCCTAATGCTAATGCTAGCGGTAACCCTAAACCCATACCTAACCTTAACGCTAATGCTAACGGTAACCCTAAACCCATACCTAACCGTAATGCTAATGCTAATGGTTACCCTAAACCCATATCTAACCCTAACGCTAATGCTAACAGTAACCCTAAACACATACCTAACCCTAACGCTAATGGTAACCCTAAACCCATACCTAACCGTAATGCTAATGCTAACGATAACCCTAAACCCATACCTAACCCTAACGCTAATGCTAACGGTAACCCTACACTGATGCAGGTGGACTTTATCTATAGTTTAGGTTTAAACAATCACATTACAAGAGTCATACTTACGGTTTTCCTGTCGTTTCAGTTGATATCTGTAATGTCACAAAACAGGGAAAATAACAGTAAATGTATCAACAATAAGCCGTTTGTTCCGCTACAGGATGCTAACAGGACGTAGTGTGCTGCAGCAGACTTTACAGCATGAACCGCCGACGTCCTGTTTCATCAGCAGTGACTTTATACAGACTGAAGTTATGTTTGAATAAACGAAGACAACACCTTCAGGAGGAACTTCAGTCAGTTAACTTTTAATTCTCTTCAACAAATATTCACAGACCATCAGTTTAAACACCAGATTCACTCAGGAAGTCCTTCGCTGGTCACACTTTGCAGTTTCCCAGGTTGGAAACTTGGCCTAAAATAAAATGATCCACGTGTTCAGAACAGTTGTGCAGCAGCGACACACTGGACCACAGCGCCACCATCAGCTTCTAGATGCATCCTCCACGTCCTCGTCACGTCAGCTGGACAATTGGTTGACCGCTGGGGGTCCATTCATCGCCGTTACTAGTTGAACTTATAAAACATATGAAGCAATGAGGCAGCAGAAGGTCGTACTGCTGCAGTACCTGGTTGTTCCACCAGGGGGACGAAGGCACTACGGCTAACCTACAACATGCAGGACTTAAAGGTAAATTCTTAATGTCACTTAATCGATTAGTCATTAACATCTACACTCCTCCGTCTGCGGTTCAGGATGATCCGGGTTGAGCTCAATCTTGTCATGGTTTCCATCCTCCAGAACCACTGTGGGTCCGTCGGACCTTCTGCTCTGAACGTCGCTGTTGGATCTCTGAGGTGGCAGGACACACTGGACGTCTGAAGCTCCAGCGCCGCCTGAACGCCCCACTGCTAGCAACTCATTCTGACAGCTGGACTGAGGACAGGAACCAGAACAGGAACCAGAACTCATCAGGTCTGGGTCCAGGAGTCGTCCTCGTCGTAGAAGGTTCAGGACTGAAGCAGCTCCAGTCTGGACTCCGACGGAGCTTCGACCACTTCTCCAGACGTGAACAGCTCCTGAAACACCACAAGACTTTAGTTCATCTGAAACTGTCCCGAGACCTGATTACAGATGAAGATACAAGAATCAGCTGAAGTTGATCGATCGTTTGCTTCAGTCTGATCACCAGGGACACGTTTCTGATCAGACGTATTGATACCTGATCAGACGTATTGATACCTGATC